GACTTTTTGAAATTTTAGATAACATTCTGATAGAATTTAGTAACGTCTATAAACTCTGAAAATTTGAGCAAAATCCATTGAGAAATGAGTGAAATATGAGGCCTCAAAGTTGGCGTCTAGGAAAAGGAAAAAAAAAAAGAATAATAAGAATAATCTTAATCATCAGAATCAGTAGAAGGTCTTCCGTTGGAAACGGAAGACCTTAATAATATACTTAACTAAACTGAATGTTAAACTTTGTTGAAATAAAGTTTTTAACGTATTCTCTAGCTGGATGTCATACAGATTATTCAGAGACAACTTTCTCCTTGCATTTAGTTTGAATTACAAGACGGGAGATAGGAAAAATACTTATCATCTCTCATTCGATTGATACTCAATGTTGCATTATTTATAAAAAAAAAAATCAAGCTTAAAATAATTCACTGTCATTTTATTCATGCATCGTGAATTTTCGTCGGACCTTGATTGCTTTGTTTACAGTTGTGCAACCTGTTTATCGATCGCGCATGCATTGACCTATATACATTCCTGAGGTCAACATTACCGCTCTTTGATTTTTACGCGAGTCCCAGAGTTATCTAAAACGATGCTAGTCATCGATTTACTCAGTTTAAAATCAAGAATTTGTTATTTGCGTAAATCGTAAGAATATTTCTAGACACAAATATAAAGGTTTTCTTGAACATGTACGAGTATTTAAAGATAAAATGTCTGATTCTATTCTTTGACGAATGAATAAGAGGCGCTGCGATTTTGCTCAGGTACAGATGATTTCTCTGGACGAGTCTATCGGTTACACTGAAAGGTGACGCAGGATGACCTATCGATAACTCTGCCAATTTTGATAGTGATTGTAATTGCACATGTACATAAATTAATGTTTGAATTCTACCTTTGTGAAGTCCATTATAGTTTCGTTATTAAAAGAACTGGGGATATCACTACTGCAACTTAATTGTTTTTAATTTGAACGGATGATTCTATATTATTGGAAAGGTACACATCTTTTAGGCGCCGTCGTCTCCCTCTCAACTTTGAAGTAATTGCAATCGTTATATGTATACGGGCCTATATCAAGTTATTCTAATTGTTGCTTAATTTATTTCAGAAAAAATTGCGATGTTGTTTAAATTAGCAATTACAAATAAACATGACAAATGCACACAGTAAATTGTAAGTGGAAGTGACGTTTTCAATTCTCATGAAAATCGAAAATAAAATTAAGTAACTTTGAGTTTTGCATAATTTGCTACATAACTTATCATTGTATTTTTCCGAATGATATGCTCATAAATTTCTTTTATTTCCTCAAATAAAAAGCTAGAATATCACAACGACACGATTTTATGTGCATGTACATGATATTAACTAAACTACATGCTGTTTTACACAGAAGAACACCAAACATGAGCTTTAAGAATACGAGAAAAAAAAAGAATTATTAGAAATTTTTCTAAAAAATGCAAAATTTCTTCCTGTAATTTCATACAAATAGTCAAAGCCTTTCTTTCGTGTTTATTGGACTAAAAGAGATTAAAACACGGATATTGAATATAGCTTCAGTGCAATTTTTTTCTAATATTTTCTAGTTTTTTATTCTTCGTATTTCTCAATTTATCATGTTCAAATAACGTGTATTTATTTTTATTAGGGCACATTAAACCTTATTTGTCAACCAGTCTGACAGTGTCCATCTATCACGAGAACTTTAAACTTGATAATAACTATTGAATGAGTTGAAATAGGACTTTCATATTTCACATGTGCATTATTTGTGACATCTGATTTTCAAATATACTGTGATTTTTAACTCAGTGACCTTGATCTTGACCTACTTAAAAAAATAACATTGCTTTAAATTGACCATAACTATTGAAAGCTTTGAATTCATTTTATAAACATGTACATGTAATACCTGTGTCAACGCCTTTGAAAATTCATTATGATTTTTGACCCTTTGACCTTGAAGTTTGACCCACTTTTCAAAAACATTAACCATAGTCATACCTTTTGAGAGAAAAGAGATCGATTAGGGCTTTTATTTTACCACTGTGTATTACCTGTAACAACATTTTTTTTTAAATACCGATACGCTGATTTTGACAACGTGACCTTGAGGCTTGACTTACTTTTCACAATTTTAATCTTGATCATAACTTTTGAATGAGAAGAGATAGGGTTTTCGTAGTACACAAAAATCAAATGTATGTAACCTGTGATAAAATCATTTCAAATACTAGCATATAATGAACTTTGACCTTGAAGTTTAACCGGCTTTAATATTGCTTAAAATTGACCATGACTTTTGATAAAGAAAGGATAACGCTTTCATGCCTAGATTTACACATGTATACACGTATTAGCTATGACAAGGCCTATCGAAAAAAGTATAGCTTAAGAATTCGTCAATAAGGTAGCACACAAATGGCTTTGCTACTCACCAGCGTGTGTCATGGTGTGACGTTAGGTCATTTTAACAAGGTCAAGGTCGCAAACATTCCTTTACTATCTTTTTTAATAGTAAAACATAAATAAGATGACATCTACCCTTAAAAGATTGCTTTAACATTAGAACGTGGAATGACCTTGACCCAAGGTCATTTCTCCCTGTCCGCAGCTCCGACGGAAGACCTACTCGTTGCTTTGCAACGAGCTCGGCTCTAGTTTTTGTCCTATTGTTTTTATCTGTATCCTTTGTCCCTGCTGAAAAGAGTCTTGAAAAAAGGCACACGACCTTTACAATGCAATACGGGACCGCATACAAATAATGACAAAAATACCGATGTGAAAATTAAAGGATATACTTATCACTCTCAAACAACCCTTCAACTACAATTCTCTGTATTTCAAAACTCGTAATCAACCCTTTAACTACAATTCTCTGTATTTCAAATTTGTTAAGTTCAAGTCATCTTTGTCCATTAAGCGGAAATAAATTTTTAAAGAGAAAGTGGATGTCTTTGTCCCAAATTCTATCAGATTAAAAAAAATAATTTTTAGCAATTTAACTTTTTTGTTATGGTATCTTGGTTTTTAGCTCACCTGAGCCGAAGGCTCAAGTGAGCTTTTCTGATCACATTTTGTCCGTCGTCCGTCCGTCTGTCTGTCTGTCTGTCTGTCTGTCTGTCTGTCTGTCTGTCCGTCTGTAAACTTTTCACATTTTCGACTTCTTCTCAAGAACCACTGGGCCAATTTTGACCAAACTTGGTACAAAGCATCCTTGGGTGAAGGGAAATTTAAATTTTTAAAGACGATTTCTATAATTTTTTTTCCGAATTTATTTTTTTTCTTTTTTACATATTTCCTTCCTTAGAGTATGCTTTATGCAAATATAAAAAGAAAAGGTATGGTTATCAGATTAGTTTTTTTGTTGTGAAGAATTTTTAAAACTGACCGTTAATCAATTATTGAGTGAAATTCTGACCATTTTTCAATTACACACTATCTTAAAAATATACTACTTTTTATATATTTATCAGAGTTCTAACTTTTTCATTTTATCATACAAGTCAGTATACACTACTAACAAGATGTTGAATTCAGATATTGATTGAATATAAGAAAAAACACAAACAGAATATCATTTTTCAAATTATCATTTATCTAACCAAATGTACATTGTTTTCGCATAATTTATACAATTTACGCATTAAAAAGTCAATAAAAAAAGTTTGACGAATTTATTTTTTTTTAAATTCATACATATTGTACATTTAAGTATACTGATAATAATGATATAAAGAAAAATGGGGGTCATCATATTCATTTAGTAAATAAAACAACATTTGCTAGCACGATGTTAGACGTTTTTCGATGTCAGAGGTTGTAAAATATGCATCAACATAAGAAAAACATACATTTTTTCTTAGATTTTGATTTCAATTACAAAAAAACCCCAATGCAACATATTACATCTGAAATTCCTCTTTAAGGGGTCCTGACCCTCTCCTCTAAATTTCACTATGGAAATTTTAAATTTCTAATATTGATTTTCATGAACACAACAATGACTTTAAAACCAAATACAAAACCTTATACAACGTGGTATAATGCAGGTTACATACAGGGTTTTGTTTTTCTTATTTACAAATTTACATTAGATCTATGATGAATTTGTGAGAAATTTAAAAAAGAAGTTATCCTTCTTAGCAGAGGGATAATGTCCCTTAAATGCTGAAATTAGAAAACTACAGAAATATTATTTACTTTTCTAATTGGTATGGCCATATATACATTCAAATGTTTACAGCTATACAGAGCTTGTAAAACTAAGATGCAAAAAAACTATACATGTACAAATACAGCCAATTAAACGTCTAATGTCTATTGTTACATTCAGCTAAAATTTGTTTTGCCTTACTGTTTGTCTTCAAAATACTTATTTACTTTTTCAAGTAAACATTTTTTTGATGTTACTCGAGGTTTCCCATCGAATTTTTCAGACAAGAGTGTTTTTAAACCACCTCTGGTGTGAGCAAGTTTTAGATGACCTAAGTTTAATCCACTTTCAGCAATCTTTTTACACATTTGCTTTGAAAGTATCTTATCATTGCATAAAACTAACAAGGTGTTTAAGTTTTTATCTACAATTTTGTCAAAAAGGTACTTCTCAACCAAGGTATGCATACTTGAACTGTGGCGTACAAGAACTTCAGTGCACGGTTTTACATGTTGAACAAGTTTTTGAAGAACAAGAACATCATCCTCAGCATTGTGAGCTGCATAGTTTTCATTTAAAAAATATGTAACAAGAAACTCTTGTGAATATTTTTCCAGACCAGGATAAACTTCTCTAAACAGAAGTAGTGTGTCTACTACACCTAATACAACTGGTTCTAAAGCATGAAGAAAATGACAAATTTCAAAATTTCGTAAGACCCTAGGTAAATCAAACCTCAAGAAATTATGTCCTACAAAAATACAAGGCTTTTGATCATCTAACCATGCCAGAAATGATGCCAATGCAAGTTGCAATGAAACGGATGTTACAGGAGTACCATTCAAATGCAAAACATTTCCATGAACAGTCAGTCCAGTGACTTGAGAAGCTGCTGTTGAAATTCGTTGACTAGGTAAGATGTATTTCGAAAACTTGCCATTTTCTGAAACAGCCGCAATCTGAATGATATCACACGTTTTATTAAGAGATGTTGTTTCGATGTCACAATACACAAAGGTATATTTCTTTGGTAATATACATGGAGTGACAGTTGGTACAATGCTTGGAGCAGGTATTTCTTTGACAAACTCGCCGTCAGATTGTGTCAAATCAACAGATGACTGATAAGTTACTCCTTCCCGAATTTGAGAAGCGGAATTCATGGTACTGTTTTTTAATTTTCTTTCAAGTTTTCTTTTTTTGAATTCTCTTGTATTTTCATACGCGAGTCTGCGTTTGCGCGTTTTGTCTTTTTTTTCTGCAAGTTTTTGAAAAACTCGTCCAGGCGAAACACCCACCAGTTCGTTAACTTTGTTGACGTATGTTGAGCCCATGTTTTTCTCTGCTACTGCACAACTAACTCTATTTTGCAAACTAGATGATGAAGAATAGTGCAGTCTTTTGGGGGCTTTTGCAGCAATTGAATTATTGAATGATTCAACATCTCTAGTAGATGCAGCAGGGGAAATCTTGTGAGCATTATTGATAAATGTTTCAAATATAATGTTCAGGTCATTTTTTAATTCATCACCCTGTAGATCTTTTCCAGATGGAAGGGACTTGTGGCGGAACTCTTCAGGATTAGTTTTATAAGTACACCATTTTGAGTCACACTGGTCATGCTCTCCAAAAGCATGTGGCACTATTTGCTTTAGGTTTTTCTTTAATGCTTCTGTATCATTTTTATTTTGTACAATAGCGTAAGAGAAGCATTTTTGAAAATACTTGACACAATTGTTGTTGAAATTCTTGTGTTTCTTTTGTAGTTGGTATAAACTGTTACCAAGATGCTTTTTAGTGTGACTAATGTCACTCCATTTGATCACCGGATGTGGAATTTCTTCATTGATTCGTGCCATTGTTGTGCAGTCGTCATCCATAACTAACACTGATACTTCAACATTTTCTTTTTCAATTTTGTTCACTAATTCAACTGCAACGTTACTCTCCATTGCTTTTGACGAGCCCTCCCAATTTTTACAGCACTTATGTTCTGGAGGAGTTTTCCCCATATTTGTATGAAAGGAACATTTGCGACAATCCTTTGATCGAACACCAAAGCCACATATTTTCCCGGACTTGTTGCCGATTAATGTTCCCACTCCAGATTTACTGTTATAGGCCCTTCCTGATCCACGCTTCTGCCATCCCATGTCGTACTTAAACTCCCCAGAGCTGCGAGCCTGCTGACCGTCATTGGATTCATTTACACTGGAAACAAGAAAACTCATTTTAAGACTCGTAAGAAATAATGTATACCGGTATATATTTTATAGCAAAAGTATAAGAGTGAGTCATCAATTATTCATAACAGCACTTCCTTTTTTTTTATAAATTGTGCTTATCCTAGCTCACTTTAGCATGTAATCAAATCTGGCCTAAGGGTTATATATAAACCAGCCCCAATTTGGACCTATCAGTGTGAAGTTGATCTTTGACCTACAGAACTTGAAACAGTATGGAAACCTGTCATTTCAGTGTGTTATAGAGGATGGAGATGATGGACACTTTGGCATAACATGATCTTTTGGGTATATAAAAACCATATAGCATGTACCTTCTTGCTGATACATTGCCCTGTATTTCCTCCAATAAGGCCTCACTGCATGACTGCTGGGCAACAGATTGGATATGTGGCTCCACTTCACACTCACGGGCTTTCATAGTTCTATGGTGCATACCCTCTATCTCTATGGAAGACATAAAGTTGGTGACCTGTGTGTGCCCGGATCCACTATGAAGCATACCTGTATAATAATTTAAGGTCACTTTATATATATCTAATCGTATGTCAGTCTAATAACAACACATATGAAGAATGTTAAAAAATCAAAAACAACAAATTACTGGTAGAAATTATGGCTGATAATGATATAAAGGAATATTAAAGTTTTCTTATGATAGGAAAGCAATTACATATTTTCAAATCAAACAATTAAATTCAATATAGCTTTTAAATAATTGTTTCTATCAAAGCTACATTTATAAAAGTGATAAAAGAGTCATTATTCTAATCTAGTAGGCAAGCTGTTAGAAATATATCAATGAAATATAGGTTTTACATGTAGCACAGAAGGAGTGCAAAGGGTTACAAAATTGTTAGTACCAAGCACCACAAAAGGAGGGTATAAAGCGTGACATTCTTGTCTAAGTAGCTATTACCCAGTATACCGGTAATTTTACAACAGATAGATGTATGGTTAGCACTACTATAAATAGTGGTAGAACTACTACAAGCTTACGGTTTTACTTACTTCAGCTGCAATAAGGTACATATAAGAAAAAGGTAAAACAGAATAATAAATAAACAAGTAAATTCTTCTTAGCAAGATAAAGTTTGCCCATATTTTCAGTTGCTAATCATGACAGTGCCCCACCCTCTACTATAATGATCAATTGTTGCTAAATGTCTGTCAATCAACGTATTCAATTTTATCACATAAAATTTTTATTGTTATTTTTATATTTAAATATTGACTATAATGGTATATAAACTATCAATACCTAAAGCTGCCTTTGTGTTTATGTCAAACACAGCAGGTCCGCGTTTATTAACTCTGTGTGACTTGCCAGTTGTTACTTCATTCAGAACACCGCACTCACAGGTAATAGTCAGGTTTGAAGCAAACCCTTGACGCCTTTCATTTACGATGTTATTTAAAGTCAGTGTGTGCCCACAATCCCAACAGTTCATTTGTTTCGCCATATGATCCAACTCAACGATTCGCCTCCCTTTTCTCCATGATTCATCATTCGATTCACATGTGTGCCCTTCTGTTTGTGCAACATTTTGAGTCCTGAAAGTAAACAACAACCTAGTCTTAGTAATAAAATTTATAAATTTATAAATCAATATTTGTATAAATACCCAAGTTGTGTTTCGTTTACTGCTGAATATCAAAAACATAAGCTTTATATTTAGTCTGCAAGTTCGACCCAGATGCAAATTTTGAACCAGGTCTGCGAATTACTGTGATTAGTAATCTAATTCACATACTGTCAAATGTCAATAGCTACTCAATAGCCTCATTTTGTAAGAAAAAAGATCAAATGCATCACTGTTGCTGATAAAAACGCTGATAAAGTAATCGATATGAAAGGACAAAAAATGTGTAATTATTATATCAATGTATACTTACACAGTAGCCTCACGTATCTTCATCATGTTTAATCTTCTATTCATTGTACCCTTTTTCACAAATCTCCCCCCAACTCGATCGCGATCAGTCATTTTCAACATGTTTCGACCGCTTGACAGACGATGTCAGATCTCTACGGCGCCATCTTTGTGTGTCCTGGTAAAATGAGGCACCTTTTTACAACCGGGCACATTTTATTTTTTTTCAAATTTCTTACAAAATACCTATATAATTGAACTGAAATTTTCAGATAAATTAAAATTTTATTATCTTATTCTTTTTTTATAAAAACAAAGAAAATGATATGCCTTTCATAAATTATAATTGTCCTTTGGCCCGGCCAGCATTTGCCACCTGATTTTACCAACATTCCTTCCCATTTTACCAGACTCCTTCGATTGAAGAGCTTCGATTGCGCAGAAAGATGCGCACAAAAAACTCCCGCAAACGTCTTTAAAATGAAGGGACATATCCCCTCGCAAGGGGAGATAATCAAGAAAAGACAAAAATAGGGTGGGATCATTAAAAAATCTTCTTCTCAAGAACCACTGGGCCAGAAAAGCTGAAACTTATGTGAAAGCATCCTAGGGTAGTGTAGATATTAAATTGTTCAAATCATGACCCCCGGGGGAAGGGCGGGGCCACAATTGGGAATCAAAGTTTTACATAGAAATATATAGGAACAATCTTGGAAAATCTTCTTCTCAAGAACTACTGGGCCAGAAAAGCTGAAACTTATGTGAAAGCATCCTAGGGTAGTGTAGATATTAAATTGTTCAAATCATGACCCCCGGGGGAAGGGCGGGGCCACAATTGGGAATCAAAGTTTTACATAGAAATATATAGGAACAATCTTGGAAAATCTTCTTCTCAAGAACTACTGGGCCAGAAAAGCTGAAACTTATGTGAAAGCATCCTAGGGTAGTGTAGATATTAAATTGTTCAAATCATGACCCCCGGGGGAAGGGCGGGGCCACAATGGGGAATCACAGTTTTACATAGAAATATATAGGAAAAATCTTGGAAAATCTTCTTCTCAAGAACTACTGGGCCAGAAAAGCTGAAACTTATGTGAAAGCATCCTAGGGTAGTGTAGATATTAAATTGTAAAAATCATGACCCCCGGGGGAAGGGCGGGGCCACAATGGGGAATCAAAGTTTTACATAGAAATATATAGGAAAAGTCTTGGAAAATCTTCTTCTCAAGAACTACTGGGCCAGAAAAGCTGAAACTTCTGTGGAAGCATCCTGAGATAGTGTAGATTCTAAATTGTAAAAATCATGACCCCCGGGGGAAGGGCGAGGCCAAAATGGGGAATCAAAGTTTTACATAGAAATATATAGGAAAAATCTTGGAAAATCTTCCTCTTAAAAACCACTGTGCCAGAAAAGTTGAAACTTATGTGGAAGCATTCTTGGGTAGTGTAGATTCTAAATTGTTCAAATCATGACCCCCGGGGAAAGAGCGAGGCCACAATGGGGAATCAAAGTTTTACAATAGAAATATATAGGAAAAATCTTGGAAAATCTTCTTCTCAAGAACTACTGGGCCAGAAAAGCTGAAACTTATGTGAAAGCATCCTAGGGTAGTGTAGATATTAAATTGTTCAAATCATGACCCCCGGGGGAAGGGCGGGGCCACAATGGGGAATCAAATTTTTACATAGAAATATATTGTAAAAATCTTTGAAAATCTTCTTCTCAAGAACCACCGGGCCAGAAAAGTTGAAACTTATGTGGAAGCATTCTTGGGTAATGTAGATTTTAAATTGTTCAAATCATGACCCCCAGATGAAGGGTGGAGCCACAATGGGGGGATCAAAGTTTTACATAAAAATATATAGGAAAAATCTCTGAAAATCTTCTTCTCAAGAACCACTGGGCCAGAAAAGCTGAAACTTATTTGCACATGGAAGGATCCTGGGGTAGTTGATTTCAAAATGTCTTAATTATGATCAGTGGGGTAGGGTGGGGATACATAATGTATTACAAGGGGGAAATCTGGTAAAGAACAGAATGGTCAAAGCTTCTCAGGTGAGCGATGTGGCCCAATGGCCTCTTGTTTTCTGACTGGATCCGATGAAGACTGCGTGAAAAGACATGATGTTTAAGGTCTAGACTTTTCAGATAATACATGTCATTTCCGAGAAAATAATATTATAGAACAATATTTTCGTCCTTATTAGTATCTCGGGTCCTTCTCAAATGGATAGAAATTTATTACTGTATTTTAATTTCCGTTGTCAGTGCTTATTTTTCATCAAATATTCTTATTTCAGATTATTACAATTAATATGCTATTGCTTGTCGCAAACTGTATCGTATGTCCCTTTTGTAATGAATCTTGTTTCTGGACTATAAACTCCAAAATAATCAATAGAAATCAATAAACTGACCCGGCCTTCGTTTGAACTGTCAATGGTTATTTTTGAATTTCCCTACAAACGGCTTGTTTCAATTAAAAAAATGTTTTATTAAATTGATTAAAATAAAAGGACGCGTCTTAAAAATCCTATAAACAATACAAAGTTTTGAACAAGGCATAAAAATAAAACAGGGTCTACTAGAAATCCTTGAGGTGGGATCAGGTAGGTGCCTTGGAGGAGTAAGCATCCCAGTCGAACCCTTCTGATCCCAACAGACGCCCGCGTGGCGCAGTGGTTAGAGCGTCTACTCTAGAGTCGCCCACGTGACTCAGTTTTTAAAGCGTCTACTCTAGAGTCGTCAGGTGAGGAGATGAGCTGATCCTTACGTCCCCAGACTCGAATCCATAATTAAATAATTTCTAAAATATTAAAGTTATTTATTAAAGAATTTCCACCTTTATTCCGTTGAAAATTATGAAATTATCATCAATATATCTGCCATGGAAAAGAATATTGTTAAATTTAGATTCAACAGACTATGACATGACTTCAATTTTCAATAGACGACACGAATCACTCCTGATAATGCGTTTATAGGACGTGAGGAGTATTTTATGACTGATATTGGGTAACAACCGTTATAACGAACATTTAAATCAGAATAATGCTATCTCTTTGCTATCAAATTGTCATCGAGACCTAGTAAGTTATCAGATCCGGTTGATTGATGACGTTTATTAAATTAGTAAATCAATTTAAATAGTACAGCAATATTTATGGATGGTGGATTCATTATTCTCAAGAGAAAGAGTAATTCGTTATTAGGGCATAATCATTTCGCTGCGCAGTTGTTATAGAGCGTCTTCTGATCCTAGCGCACAAAGAAGGGTCTTTTGGATGAGGTCGTATACACTGATCTCCAGTGTCGAAGAAAGTGCTGGCACGAAAAGATTCCTTACTGCCCAATGGCCCTGAGTGCCGAGCATAGGTCAACTTTTGCAGCTCCCTATCGGCAAGTGGTGGGGTATCCATATCATTGAAACATTTTCGAGAGGGATGTTAAACAACGCATAAAAACAAACACTCTTGCATTAATATATTGATCGTGTTTTCTGCACCTAGACACTTCATCCCAGATCTGGTATTGTAAGGGACTGTACATAGTTCATATTTTGTTTATTGTTTTTATAAGATAAGTCAGTAATTTTAACCATTTACGTCAATTTTTGAAGAAAAAAGAACGTATTGCTATGCTGCTGTCGGTCTATCTGTCTGTCGGTTTACAGTTTTTGTTCATTGAGGTTGTACAAACTAAATGAAATTTGATATACAGAATTATCATAAGAATGTGTAGGTCATTTTCGTTTTAGATAAGATAGAGCATTTTTGACAGTTAATCGTACATGTACTAATATGTCCCTTGAAATTAGAAAAAGTCAATTTATTTGCAATTTCCTTTTATTTTCTTAACAGATGTTGCACATACTAAATTGAAATATGGTATACAAATTTACCATAATAATATCTAGGTCAAGTTCTGTATTGGATACGATCTATCAAACCCTAAAATGTATTCCAAGGGGTGTAAAGAGTTTCAAAACATTTCGTTTTATTTTTAAGACTACCGGATTACTAATTGCCAAGAACTTGATATTTATTCGCACATTTAATACAATTATTTTGAATTTCTCATTGAGTGCAATATTTTTGTTTTAAAGTACTCAGAGGACAAGGTAGTAAAAGGCGCTTTTGAAATACTTTGACCCATCAAACCTTAAAACAGTCCTATAGGATTTCAAGGGGACATTTCTCAAAGACAAAACTGACGAAAATTAAACTAAAAAATTGAAGGAACTTTACGAAAGAAAAGACTTGTTTTGATCTTATTTATTGTACAATTCATACAAAAGGAATTGGTAAGATGATCTTACAACTTACAGTAACCTGTGTACAGTAGGCAGAACAGTTTTGGAGAGTTGTTGCTAAAATCTCAATTAATGTTGAATATCGAAATTGGGGCCTCAGATGGGCCATTGTTGTTGCTGTAACAATCCAATCATAATTACTATTCACATTTTGAATAAAATAATAATACAACTCATTATACAGTCTGTTTTTTTTTTTAATTCGTTTATTAAAAACGGGTTATCCTAAGATGCGAGGGGTGATCAAAAAGTTCGCGGGCTATCTCTATATCTTCAACACCACAATTCAGATTAGAATGAAATTCGGTACACACATAGCCATACACAAGGTCTATAAATAGCATATGCTGAATAAAGTTTTTTCTGCTTGTTTGTGACTTCACAATGTGAAAATGACGTCACTATGTAGGTCACTTGTGACGAAAAATGGTTTTCTCAGTCGAACACCTTCAACAAACGGCTGTAAAATTTATTGTATATCTTAGAAATCCCTCTGCAGTATCATATAATAATTTGTACACAGTTTATTAAGATAAATGAGTCCCCATAAATTCAATTAGTGATCGGATTGATCGTTTTAGTGAAGGAAGGCAGATGGTTAAAAATGATATTTGTCATCTTGCCCAGTGAAAGCAAGTTTGAAAAGATATGTATTTTTAATTAAGCAATTTGATATCAAAGACCTCCAATTAACACTGAGAAATAGTTGAATATTTGAACTATAATATAATTATTAAATACCTAAGATATCGTTTACTTTAGATTTTAAACATATTACCTGGTAGATATGATAAAAAGGAGGCACCCATTCTCTATCCACTTTGAATAAAGGTCTCTCCCGAGACAGAAAATTTGTGTTTTAATGGTCGCCATGCTTATTTTTGGAAAGGATATTCTTATCCACCCATTCTGTTGCCGAGATATGACCATTTTTGACAAATTAGCTGTTCTTGTCATAAAAATTAACTCACATAGAAAGAGATATAAAACGCAGAAAAATCTTTCAACTTTTGTGATAGAATGCTACGGAGTGGGTCACGTGACAGCCAATATCACGTGATTCGCGACTCTGCAGAACAGTGGTTGGTGTGCATTAAAATTGTGGAGGATTAATTTAGAATATAATCAAGATTGGAACCAAATATTCTTTCGTTAATGGA